TGCCAGCAGTTAGCGTAATGGCTATGTCGCTGGACTCCCATGTAGTCGACCGCAGTTCGAGTCCTGGACCCAGTGGCTGAAACTCATGCTGGGCGCGTGTGCGTGCGTGCCCAAGATCCCGAGAAGAGAATGGAGGAGAAGGGATTGCGGCGTGGCCATCCCCCCTGGGGGGTGATTTCTCGCTTTCTATCTCTCTGTCTCTCTCTGTTTTTCTGGCAAGTGCACGTGCCCTATAGCAAAAACCTCTGAAGAAAAAAGTATACTTCAACGACAAGGTGACAACTTTTCTTTTTTTTTTTTTAAGTGCCAGTGGGATCTTAAGAATGATTGAGAGAGAGAGAGAGACAGAGAGAGAGAGAGAGAGAGAGGAGAGAAAGCACTCCCCCAATGGGGCACGGTCATGCCACAGTCCCTTCTCCTGCATCACTCCCTTCAGGATTTGGACGCGCAGGCATATACACGTGCCCAGCCCAGCATGTTTTTCGAGCCATCAGGTCCAGGACTCAAACCCTGCAGTTGGCCCTGTGGGATCCAGCTGCCTTAACAACCATGCCACTGGCTGGTCTGGCTTCTAGTTTTCAAAATTATAAAAACTGAGGGAGATCCAGCTGCTTTAAGATCCACCCTACCTATTGGCCCCTAAATGCTAATTCTTTCTTTTATTTTTCTTTTCTGGAGAGGTTTTTGCTATAGGGCACGTGTGCTCACCAGAAAGACAGAGAGAGACAGAAAGCAAGAAATCACCGCCCGGGGGATGGCCACGCCACAAACCCTTCTCCTCCATTCTCCTCTTGGGATTTTTGGCATGTACACACACGCATCCGGCGTGAGTTCAAGCCACCGGGTCCGGGACTCAAACCGTGGTCAACTACATGGGAGTCCAGCGACATAGCCATTACGCCAACTGCCGGTTCCTAAATGCTATTTCTTTAACTCCTGAAATTATGATGTAGTTTTTCTCCATAATCTGTTGAGAGAATTAAACAGCTTTCGTGATATTTAACTACGCTTGCATTTTTAGGATAAACCCAACATGGCTTGTTATGTATTTTTTTCTACATTGCTAAAGTTGGCTGATGTTAAATTATAGTTTGTATGAAAGCTGCTAAATGTTAACCTGTTTTCAATAAACTTTACAGAAAAAAAATGACAAAAATGGATTCAGCCTGGCGATGCACTTGGGAGCAAACTGAACTGCATGCTGGAAGCCACATGGCTGAACGTGGGCCTAAATCCCGACGCTGGCCTGAAAAGCACACAAGGTCTTACTATCCCACAATCCCCTTCGCCCAGCCCACTAGCATGGGCCCCAAATCGCAGGAAGCTGGAGAAGCTGGGGAACGGGGATTGCAGGTCATGAGAGCCTCTCTCTTTTTTTTGTGTGGAGAGGTTTTTCGCTATAGGGCACGTGCGTTCGCCAGACAGACAGACAGAGACATAGAGACAGAAAGAGAGAAATCACCCCCCAGGGGGGATGGTCACGCCGCAATCCCTTCTCCTCCATTCTCCTCTCGGGATCTTGGGCACGCACGCACATGCACCCGGCTTGAGTTTAAGCCACCGGGTCCGGGACACAAACCGCGGTCGACTACGTGGGAGTCCAGTGACATAGCCATGACGCTAACTGCTGGTCCCCATGCCTCTCTTCTCTCTCTTGCTCCCATGCATGTACAACACCCCTTGCCATGTTTTTTTTAAATGACAAAAACAATAATGATTCATAGGACAGAA